TATATATATATATATATATATAGGGGAGGAGGGGCGTAGTGTGACCAATGTCGCCGAAGAGTTCGGGATCAACTAAAGTGTTGTTTCTCGTGCTTGGAATGCTTTTAAAACTACTGGTACAGCTGTTCGGAAGGCTGGTGTTTGCCGTCCAAGGAAAACAACACCAAGAGATGACCGTTACATTGTTCTCCAGGCGAAAAGAAACCGTTTTCAGTCAGCGAGCGCCATATCTTAGCAGCTGTGCACAGCCACAGGACGACAAGTATCAAGATTTACAGCGCCTCCACAAAGGTAGCTTTTTTGCTAGACGTCCTGAACACTGCATACCTTTAAAAGTTAGTCATCGGCGGCACCGTTTAGAGTGGTGTAGAGAACTCGAAACCAGGACACCTCATCAATGGAGTTGCGTCCACTTCACAGATGAGAGTCGTTTTAGTGCTACAAGTGATTCTCAACGTCAGTTGATCTAGAGAGAGGTTAGAGCTCGATTTCATCCCAATAACATTGCGGAAAGAGATCGTTACGGTGGTCCTGGAGTTATCATCTGGGGTGGCATTATGTTGAACGGGTGGACTGAGCTTCAGATTTTCGACCGAGGCTCTGTAACTGGAGACCGCTACTGCAATGAGGTAATCCTACCCCATGTGCGTCTGTTCCGAGGGGCCATTGGACCAGACTTCATTTTTATGGATGACAATGCCCGGCCACACTGTACTGCTAATGTTCAAGAGGTACTGGAAAGTTAAGATATCACACGAATGAATTGGCCAGCTTACTCTCCACATCTAAATCCCATAGAGCATGTGTGGGATGCATTAGGGAGACGTCTTGCGACACGACAGTATCCTCCTGGTAACACCCATCAGTTAAAAGATGCGTTAAAGGAGGAATGGAGACGTTTACCCCAAGAACTCCTGGATAATCTGGTGCTTAGCATAGAGAGAGGATGCCAAACAACAATTATAGTAAGAGGAGGGCATATCCCATACTAGGGAACATCTGCCAGTTGTACTTACGCTTCTTCAGGCAATCATGTGTAACGCCACTATAAGTCAAATAAAGCCTTTTTTTGTTCTATACCCTACTTTAAGCTTTATATTCATTTCAGCGCCATTATTCTTTTACCATTGTTTAAGTATAAAATAATGTACATCCTACTCAAATTTCATGTCAATCGGATGATTTCTTGCAGAGTTATGACAAAAAACGCACGTGTTGCTTAAGGTTTGCACACCAGTGTATGATTAGAATAATTGTGACAATATCTTACTGACAACTATATCAAATTGAAATTAAACAATCGTTATAATTGAAATTTTTTAGTCGGAGCGAATTTGTACAATATCATTGTTAATTGTAAACCTGCTACTGCTTCAGCAGATTTAAGCAATACCAATTGAAAATTATGATTAAACAATGCTTTTATAATTTTCAACTTATTAAGGTTACTGTTAGTTTAAACGATACGCTGATTAAAATGGAAATATTACAAAAACTTGGTTTATATCAGGATTCTAATCGACTCATAATTAAAAATACAACGAATTTAAACGATATCATGTTTCGAATTTGTCCGTCTTTTTAAAGGTTTATATTCCTTTCTTATATTGCTAAATTTAAACGTTATATCTAACGGTACAAAATAAATCAGTGAATCAGTATTTTAATGAATTAGTTATTAAATCAGGATTTTGTAAGTAACATTCCATTAATCCCTCGTAATGATATTGTATGAGCCGGAATGGTCTTTAAGGCACTGAACTGTCAGAGTAAAGAACTGGGGTTCGATCCCAGTAGCGACTTGAAGCTCACCCAGCTTCAGGTCGATAGCATATATAGGAAATAAAGGCCACCAGTGCTCAATTCTTACCATAATACCAATATTATTGATTACGAAGTTGTACTTAATCTCCTCGACGAACCAAGTGGCCTACAATGGGCTGCTACAAGAAAACTTAATATTTTACTTCTCTTTTTCATGATATTGTGTAGACGTTATTTTGGTGAAAAATAAATAATTTAAAAATCGTCTTTTTTCAATCTTTGCTTATGTGGCTTAGCAAAAGATATTATCAAAATAATTCAGATCTGCTTATGATTACCTTCATAACATCGCAAAATGCGTATAGAAATGAAAAAGAACTACCTGGTTGCCTTTTGTCACTACATGGGCTACTTGCAAAGTAATAGGTATTAAAAAGATCGTTTCTAAGGTCGAAAACCTGGAAAATAGGATGTTAAAGGTTAACAACTTAACATTTTTATAATATATTTTAGACTCTTCTGAATAAAAACTTACTTTGTCTTTTGTAAGCTGATCATTTGAATCCAGTAAAAGAAGACTTTTATCCACAGCTCTTATACCACAAAGAGAATTGGGAGAAGCTGAAATCTTGATTTCAGTGCTTAATCCAGGTTGTTTTTGTTTGTCAGCAAAAGAAAAGTTTACCTGTCATGTAAAAGTATTATTATTGTATAACTAACACAATCTGAATTAAACACTGAAATAAGGATTTCAGTGTTTGCAAAAGTAATATTATTGTATAACTAAAACAATCTAAGTTAAACACTGAAATAAGGATTTTAGTGTTTAACCCAGATTGTTCGTATTTTTTTTGTCAGTAAAAGAAAAGTTTACCAGTTATGCAAAAGTAATATTCAATAACATTATTACGTACTCATTAGAATGAAACGATGGAAGAAATAAATAAATAAAAATTGCAGGATGCGTTGTGGGGGGTTTGTATAAATTGCCACTGAAAATTTGCCGCCGACATTTTTGCCCCTCCCCCTATCTTTTTAATATGATTAACTTCTGGATAATTGTTCAAAGAATGGCTCAAATTTTCCCCCTTGTCGTCAGGCTAACTGTGGAAAAATTTTAAGGTTTTTCTCTCCATGTAACGCAATTGTGGGTTATTTCTTTAAAAAAAAAGTCGTCCACGAAGACTAGTTTGCCCCTGCTTGATCCAGGAGTTTCCTTGTCTTCTGTCTAAGTGCAGAATTACAAGGAAACGGATTTGAACATTGGTAGTTGTAAACTCAGAATTGGTTCGGCTATTCAACACCGGTTGAAAAATAAAGTAAAATTGTCATGACAAAATGATATTAAGCATATTTCAAACTCTCAAAAAAGAAAAAATATTCAAAGAATTTTTACATTGATATTTCAATTAGTTTACCCCAATGCTTAATCCAGGAGTTCCCTTGTCTTTTGAGTTGAATTTAAAATGATAGGGATACTGAGTTGAACTTTGATAGTCGTAAACTTGTAATTGGTTCGGCTATTCAACGCCCGGTTCGCGAAGATAAAATAAAATAAAATGTGAAATAAAATAAACCATAAAATAAAACAAAATATAAAATAAAGTTAAAAAAAAATCATTAATAAAAGAACTAAGTTTTCATTAGAATAATACACAAAAAGCAAAATAAAAACTACGAGTTATTTAGAATCAATTATGAATTGAGCTATTATGTCTATAATAAAAAACTAAAATCAATGAAAAGAGCCTCCTGAATAACCTTTTAATTTCTTAAATCTTTTAATTTTCTTGTTCAGAACTTCTGTCTTACGGATTTGAATTTGGTACGAGTTAATTTTTGGCAGCCATTAATTAAGTTTGTAATTAATTTTTCAGAATAATTGATCACATGAATAATTTTTCTGAACATAATGAGTAATTTCAGGATGTATAAATTTAATATTTCTAAACAAATTAAGATTTTCATAATTACAAGAAAAAAAACCCAACTGATTAATAAGAAGACCATGGTAAAATGCCCGTAAACAATGTGTGGAGTCTTGATAATTTAAAATTTTCTGAGGTATTTATTTCGAAACATTGAATCAGAAATTTTAAGATTAAAAAAATTAGGAAAAGAAAAAGAAAATAAAAAATGTGGTTATGGACAACGTTCTTCAAATAATAGGTTAATAAATTATTTACTTATTTTTAAACTGATTTAAATTGAAATTTTTAGCTTTTAAAATTACCTGTGTAAAATAAAGTGTTTTACAAATACGTGGAAAATTTCATCGTATAAAATGCATAACAGAAAAGAAAAACGTTTGTCAGGGTAACGGAAAATATTAAAAAATTTTGCGCAGTTAACTAATGTTTGTTATTAAATGATGTTGTCAAAAATTCACTCTCGCTTGTTTAACATGAGTTAAAAAATATAAAAAAGTGAGCAAACGTTTCATAAAGAAAGGAATAGGTTGAATGTCAAAAACTGAAAAATCATTTTTGGAATCGTAAAAATAAATCTTGATTCCATCCTCACTATGTTTCCTGCACCCTATAGATTTATGCCTAACGTATAGGTTTCGTTATATTTTGAATACATATTTTTACGATTGCAATTACAAAGTTTGAAACTACGCTCCTCATTCTTTTCCCATATTTGTTTACTAAATCTTTTCGTATTTTAATAAGTCATTTTTAAAAAACGAGATTCTAAATATACCATATTGTTTTATCACCACTTTGTACTCAAATTATCAATTTTCAAAGTATTTTCAGTGAATAAAACATTGAGTAAAATGTCAACCATTCACTAATAATAGGGTTCGAAGAAAAAAAATGTGAAAAAAATCTCGAAATTGAATGTAATATTAGTGACACTGGGGAACAATCTTTTTTTTTTATTTTCTGTTGAATGAGATTTGATAACATATCTCAGATATTTTTGCATTACTGATTTCAAATCTGCAAAAGATTTCGCTCTCCATGCTAGTTTTTTTTTAAATGACATTCTTAGTCTATCTTTTGTCAAAATGCAGAGGTTCAAAAACTTTATATATAACAGGGGACCGCGTAAATGTTGTGACAAGCTTCTGAAGGAGTTACGGTATATAATCAGGATTAACACTGAATAGGAATCCATGCCTGAAAATGTCGTCATATGCCACTAGGGTGCTTCTCTATTATGAATTATATCTCTGTGTGCTTCTGAACAGATCACAATAAGAAAGTACCCTTAGACGGGAATAACGGCTTTTTTTTGTCACTTGTCTTTTTGTAGTTTTATTCCAATGTGTCCTAACTGCTTCAGCTAGTTGCAACAATTAGGCAGCGCATTGTTGCAGATGTATAACATTTTTAAACTTATATATTTTAACAAAAAATAGATTAGAAATGCCCTTTTAATAGAAAACCTGCAAGAGCAAAAATAATTTCAAATTTTTAATCCCTACACTCAAATTAGATCAGATTATGTATTTGTATAAATGCAACCTAGTGGACCGGAAACTAATTTCGTTTCGGTGCTGTGGGGTTGGAGTTATCGACAATGCCAACCTTCATCTATCAAAAGGTACCTCATGATTAAATCAAGTTAGCATGTCTTATATACCAGTGAATTGATGTTTAATATTCGTAGTGGTAGTTAGGCCACATTGCATTTGATATTTGTCATCAAGATTTTATTTTCAATCAATAAAGTATTCACCCTCATTAGCAACAACCGTACAATGCTGGTTCGAAAATGAATCGAAAAAAATGAATTAGTTTTTAAGACTAACGAATATTTAATGCAGCGAAACGACATTACGTTCCGATTCAGCTAGCAATAATGTAAGTTGGTAACTCAATCATTTTTATCAATACCTTATTTTTGAAGCATTTATCAACCTGTACTTGTATAGAATCAGCAACGATTTCTCGGTTATCTTTCACATAATATACTAATATAAAAAACTGAGGAGATAGATTCTGATCTATTTCAACATCAATGTCCACTTCTCCAATGTATGGAAGATACCTGAAAGTAAATGAAATACGCTAAATAAGCCATGAAAAAATACACAAAATTAAATGCGGAAGAAATGAAGATAAGTACAAGGATAATTGACAAGTATTCATCAGTATCAATTATACTGCACGCGTAACTGCAAAGATTAACGATTTTTATTTCTGGTTGTGAAAAAAGTCATTGATTTCATAACTGCAAAGATGTAATTTTTAAATTTCGTCTATGCCTAAAATAACTTTAAATGTTTATTACACATTTTATACGTTCAAATTATTCTAGCGATGGCCAAAATTAATTCAAATAAAAATAATTATATCAAAACTTAAGTCATGAATAAATTTGAAGCATAAATTTTGCTATGATGTTCAAGATAAAAATGAAATCTTTTCGCTATGTATAAAGAGTATCTACTATAGTGAAAACTACGTATACACATTGTTGGATAATATCAATNCATATCGAGTCATGAATAAAATTGAAGCATACATTTTGCTATGATGTTCAAGATAAAAATGAAATCTTTTCGCTATGTATAAAGAGTATCTACTATAGTGAAAACTACGTATACACATTGTTGGATAATATCAATCAGATCTAAGATTCTTCAATAAAACAACTATTAAGCAAGGGTAATAAGTAGAGAAGATGGAAGATAAATTTGTGGCAAATACAGCATTAGAATTCCTTTGCATCACAATTCCAGCACTTGGTTAAAAAGTGGAGAACGAGGTGGATTGCATTGAGAAATTAGTGGTGAAAATTGTCTTTAACATTTTTACCACCTATGTAATGTAGCATGTCATCAGTTTCTGAAATTTTAAGTTTTTATAAATAAATATATAGTGTTTTAGGATTTTAAATTGTTATATGACAAATAATTTACTCACATTTTTTATTATGTTTAAAATGCTCATAGAGCATTGAGATAATATGCATATAAACACGAGGAAATTATTTGTTATAATTATAATTATTGTTAGAAAATACCTTATTTAGAAAATATTAGCGAATTAACTTAACTCTGTATTTAGTACTTGCAGATGGCATTTTTATGTTTTTTTAACTCAAAAAGTTAAGTATTTTCAAAGGTGCTTCTTAACATGCTTATATCAATTATCCAAATTTTATTAAAAATCCAATTATCCAGATATTAAAAATTACACTGGGGAACATTTTTTTGGTTATCTGTTGCATGAGATTTTTTTAAAACAGATCTCAGATATTTCAATATTGCTGATTTCAAATCTGAAATTACTTTATCTTACCAAGCTGCAGTTTTTTTAATAGCAGTTTTAGTCTATTTTTTGTCGAAATGCACATGATTAAAAACATCCTATATAACAGGGTGGGGGCATAAAGATTGTGACAAACTTCTAGGGGAGTAAGAGTACATCAATTGGATTAAAATCACATTGGAGCCCATGCCCGGGATTCGCGTCATATGCATCTAAGGGCACTTCCTCTTATGAACTATTACTTCGTCTGCTTCTAAACAGTTTATAATGGGGAAGTGTCCCTAGGCCCGTACGATGACCTTTCCAGCATGGGCTCCTAGGCGATACTAATCCTGCTGATGTTCCCTAACTGTCCTATAAGTTTGTCGCAACATTTACGCAACCCCTTGTTTTATATAACGTTTTTAAACTTTTACATTTCGACAAGAAATAGAATAAAAACTTCATTAAAAAAATCTGTATCCTTAGGAGCAAAGCTAATTTCAGATTTAAAATTCCCACACCTGAATTAGGCAAGATCAAGTATTTGCATAAATGCCACAAAAAATTTGTTCCCTAGTGTTAGCTATATGCTTTGAAATGAATAATGAATGAATATAATATTATTGAAAATTGAAAGGAAATATTTTGACATTCAATTACAACGTAGTTTCAAAGTTTATGTATGCTTTACAGTTTCTTCCTTAATTATATTTTTCAAATAAAAAATAGCATAAATTGTTACATACTTATTTAGTTTCAAACATTTTATGAATGCAACAAATTTTTTTTCCCCTAGTGTTAGCTATATGCTTTGAAATGAGAAATGAATGAATATAATATTATCGAAAATTAAAAGGAAATATTTTAACATTAAATTACAGCTTAGTTTCAAAGTTTATGAATGCTTTACAGCTTCTTCCTTAATTATATTTTTCATTCTTCCTTAATTATATTATTTATTCCAAATAAAAAATAGCATAAATTGTTACATACTTATTTAATTTCAAACATTTTATGAATGCAGCAAAAAATTTGTTCCCTAGTGTTAGCTATATGCTTTGAAATGAGTAATGAATGAATATAATATTATCGAAAATTAAAAGGAAATATTATTACATTAAATTACAGCTTAGTTTCAAAGTTTATGAATGCTTTACAGCTTCTTCCTTAATTATATTTTTCAAATAAAAAATAGCATAAATTGTTACATACTTATTTAATTTCAAACATTTTATGAATGCAGCAAAAAATTTGTTCCCTAGTGTTAGCTATATGCTTTGAAATAAGTAATGAATGAATATAATATTATTGAAAATTGAAAGGAAATATTTTAACATTAAATTACAACTTAGTTTCAAAGTTTATGAATGATTTACAGCTTCTTCCTTAATTATATTTTTCAAATAAAAAATAGCATAAATTGTTACATACTTATTTAATTCAAACATTTTATGAATGTAACAAAAAATTTGTTCCCTAGTGTTAGCTATATGCTTTGAAATGAGTAATGAAAGAATATAATATTATTGAAAATTAAAAGGAAATATTTTAACATTAAATTACAGCTTAGTTTCAAAGTTTATGAATGCTTTACAGTTTCTTCCTTAATTATATTTTTCAAATAAAAAATAGCGTAAATTGTTACATACTTATTTAATTTCAAACATTTTATGAATGCAACAAAAAGTTTGTTCCCCAGTGTTAGCTATATTCTTTGAAATGAATATAATATTATTGAAAATTTTAAAAAAATATTTTGATGCAACAAAGTATTTTAGTTTGTAGTTTCAAAATTTATGTATGTTTTACAGTTTCTTCCTTAACTATAGTTTTCAAATAACAAGTAGCATAAATTGCTACATACTTATTTAATTTCAAACATCTATATATATATTTCTCTTAGAAGGCGACAAAAAAAGCCTCATTACAACTCCCCGAATGGCAACGCTGGAAAATCGACCAATGATTACTGCTAAAAATGTCACATGCCAAATCTAGTTGAGGTGGATCAACATATCGCGCTTTTAAAAACGGAAACTGAAATAACCAGAGAGAGCATTCTCACCAAATGTGATCTCTTCCGAAATTCACCCTATCAGCGGCGGCAATCTCATACAATTAAGCTAAGCAGAAGTGAGTAGTCTTCGTCGATAGAGCTCTATTTTACTAATTTGTCGAAAGCGCTCTTTTTCACGAATTTATAAATTACGAATTTATTTGACGAATTTTGATTTATATCACGAATTTATTTGTTTTATTATTGTTATTAGTTATTCATTGAAAAATGAGTCTCAGTCGTGCTGTTGCACTTTAAGATTTTATACTATAGCACATTTCTAATAGGTTTAACGAATTGCATGTCATTTATTTGAATTCAAATTTATTTTAATGACTTAGTATTTACTAAAATTCATATAAGATTGCGTAGTAATTTTCGTGGGTTGGCGAGCGTTAGCGAGCAGGGGGCACAGCCCACTAGTTTCATGAAATTTTTAAAATTATATGGAGTTTAAAATCAAACTTACCTCACAGATGGGAAATCGTTTATTGCAGAATGTCCAACAACAGATGAGGGTGGATCCAGTTGCATCTCCATTCCGTCTATAATTTTACTAGCCATTTCATATTTACTCGAAACATCTTTTTCCATACTAAAAGTTTTTGTTGTTGTGTTATGAACCACAATAGTTTCTTCGTGTATCACCTAACACAAGGAAAGGCATAGTTTAAGTATTAAAGTATTCTTGAAAACTATTTATGTAAAATTTACATATTATTCTAAATAAAAAGATAATTTCGAAGCTGATGATATTGAAGGGTTGATTCAAAACAGAGGTAAATCTATATTGAGAGTTTTGAGACTACAATATTTTTAATTTTATAGCAAAACAATAATCTTCTTGATTCCTTATTAAATACTAAATTGGAAAGTTTTTTAATTCACGTTGAAAATATGTTAAAAGAATGTAGTAATAGAGCACACACACAACCCAACCATAACAAAAACCTCTTTTTTAGGACTCTATCTCTTAACAGCTGTGTTAAGAATATCACCTAATTTTGGTTCCCTTCGGAAGACGAGGAGAGAGTTTGAGCTCTATTCTACAAACACTAAACACGTGTTGTGGTTCAAGGGATAGATGGCTCACCTCCCAATGAGGTGAACCGGGTTCGAATCCTAGCGACGGATGGTCGATACGAATTCCGTACCCAGTTTGCACCAGTCACAGTGCTGACGAAAAATATCCTCAGTGGTAGACGGATTATGGGTTAGTCTCCATGACGTCAAGCTGACCGTGGGAGGTTTTCATGGTTTTTCTCTTCGTCTAACGCAAATGGGAGTTAGCAAATGCAAAAGTCCTCCCCAAAGGCAAACTTTTCTCAATATTTGATCCAGGAGTTCCTTTGTCTTCTGGATTGGGTTCAAAATTACAAGGCTACAGAGTTGAACATTAGTAGTCGTAGACTCAAAATTGGGTTGGCAATTCAATAATGATTACAAATAAAACTTTAAAAAAATTAATACACCATAACCAACGAGAGGACATTAGGTCACGACAGATTTAATGTGCACGTTGCTGTATATGCATGTCAGTTGTTTAGTTAGCTACCAGGATCGAACTCGGGTCTCCTAGTTCATTTAAAGTATGTTTTAAAAAAAAACGTATTGTTGTCCAAAACATACGAGATTCTTCGACAAATCGTGATCAAAATGAAATGAAAAATTGGCTTAAAAAGGAATAAAAAAATCACATAGGAACATGGGATTGCAATCGTTGTCCCGTGTGTCTGGAGTGGATTTTCTTATTCTGTGTAATATAGATGGACAATAAACGAAAAGTATTCTACGTTATTTTATTTTTACTGTGCTTCTACATTTTACACATTTAGGACTAATTCCTAACAGAAAATGCTCAAATTTTTAGCTTGTCTACTATTGTTGCTGGTTAGGGTCAAGATCTGGTACATTTGAGAAGGCGTGTAACGGTCCACGCAGCGCCGATGCAAGGAATATTTCCAGGTATTTGGTCAAATCTTTCAGTATACCTTGTAACTGTAATGGCCGTAAATGCGTAATACATGTAGAATAAGTGTAAAACTAAATTTACAAGTCTTCCTAAAATTTGAAAGTCTTCCCTAGAGGAACAGGACAGCGTCCTGGAATCCTCTATTATATATTTTTTTTTTGTTTTGCCTGCTTTGGTTTTCCTTTCATTCCGACAATAAACTTTTGAGCAACCCACCAAGTTTAAAGTAGTAAAAGTTTACCTGATAGTAAAACTTGAATTCTGAGTTACCATCAGCTGTGAATAGAAGCTTGAAGGTTTGCTTGACTCCGCAAGGTAAGGGGTCGTGAACTGGCTGAATTTGAATGAAACTGCCAGATGGCGAATAGAAAGGATCTAAAAATTTTGATGTCCTGGGTTGTTCTAGGCTGAGATTTCTATTTTCAGAAGAGCTGTCGTGATATTTCAAAGATTTCGCCTGTAAATGAAAAAAAATTAATTAAAAAAAATAATTGATATTCATGTCTGACATGAACAATTAATTTATCAAATTCGTTCCCCTGCTTCGTTTTACGACGGTTATTAAACTCAATCTTTCAACATAGAAGAAATGATTGGGTACTTGCAACTCGAGAGGTGAAGGGATTATGCCTATCTGTGGGATTTAAATCAGATTTAATTGTATATCTGTAAATGACGTCAATCGTGTGTATCGAAGCTGATTAGTTTTTAAATCGACAAATGCTCCAATTTGCCTACGATGACATCATTTACAGGTATTCAATTAGATACTTCAAACTTTATGCATTTTCTGATTGATACTTACTGTTACTTACACGTTTTTTTCTAGTATATTAGTTATAATTCAATTATTCCACTAATTCTCTTTGTTGAAATTCTTGTTCAAATTTATTTAAAACATACCAACCTGCACATTTAATACTGCAGGTAAATTCCGGAAATGTTTATTTCACTCGAAGTGCAATAACGTGATGTTTTCCTCCTGGATACCTTAAACGTGTGATAATATCGAAATAAGTTGGTTGCTTCAAGTTATTTACGAATCGTAATACGCAGGCTCAGTAAGTTATGATGCAGAGTGTTGTTAAAATAATTTTAGAGATTCGAAAAATTGTTTTTAATTCTTGGCACAAATGCGCTCGTCACATAGGGCAGGTAAATAATAAGAGATAGTCTGGCTTAACAGAGCAACAGAGCGGCAGTGTTCCTTAAAAGAAAATACGAATGTTTCTTTTTTTTTTTTATCTCGAAATGTTTCCATATTTGGAAATCAGTCACAAAACGACATTTTTATTCGTATTAATTCGGTCAAATGTAAGTAAAAAAATTGAATTGAATCTGGTTTTAGTGATGCACTACATAGTCCAATCGGGATACGTGAACTAGTTTATATTATAGATTGCGAACGTTAAATTAGTTATTAAATAAAAATAATTTAAACATAACTTACTTCGAGAGATATAGAGACGTCATCGACATTTTGGGGTAAAATTGTATAAGCAATGATGCCTCTGGCGTTTGACGTAAAGTTGGAGCATATTTCTATCTTCCGCTTTGCAAACCATACTGCTAAAATGCGCTGTTTGTCTATTATGGTACATATCTCTATTGGCTCATTAGGAGCAGGAGTTTTGTCTGGATTTGATACCTTCAGCTGCATAATAAATTTTTTAAAAAATGAATGAGATAATTGAAAAAGTAATTTTATGAAAAATATTTTCACCGTTGAGTTACACTAATGAGTAATAATTTATCTTATTTTTGGTAAACGAAATATAATTTATTATTTCATAATTTGAAAGTAGGATGCATATAGAAATCATACATGTATTTTCAAAGCGAATTCGTCTCTGTAAGTTTCAGATAAAACCCGGGTACTCTGAACCGGAAGCTTCTTTTTACCCTATTTTTCATTCATTTGTTTTTATTCATTGGTTTTTCCACTAGACTGTGATTGTAATACTACTTGATTATCTTTGCTTTAAACATGAAATTCTGTTTGCGTTTAGTACATACTCGTTCTTATGACACTAAACTTTATACTTTCAACTCACTAAGTCGTGTTCGAACAGTGCGTTAATTGTTAGGGCTGTAATATTAATTCACATATTCTTAACAAGTATTTTGATCAAAAACATAGTTTTAGATTCGTATATATGATTTCTCTTACACGGGTTTGTTGATTTTGCCGAATAATATTAATTATATACAGGTCAAAGTGCTAACTCAATTTTGAGTTATCCCGAAAAAAGTAGGGTAGGAAAAGCTTTACTACAATATGAATTTTGAATTTATTGTTTTCTATTGTTCTGTCCATAGTTTTCTGGGGATTTAGGACACGCGATCAGTATTTATATTGCATAGGAACCCATAGTCGGAAATGTCGTTGACGCAGATAGGGGAACTTCCGTATTGTAAACTGTTTCTTCCTCATCTTCTGAACACGAATTTTACGTGTGCATGAATTCTTATGCATTTTGGGTACTTGCACTTCGAAAAGAAGAAGATCAAATATACCCGCTTATGTGACCTATAAGGTCAGCTCTTGCCGGTGTTCACTAAACAAAATGGCACGACAAAGTTGTGCTAAGTTTTTCCACATAAAGTTAGAATGTTAATTAACGCGAAGTTAATTAAATACAGTACCATACCGCACATTGAATTCGTTGAAATATAATTCTTTTCTATATTTATTATTTGTTCATGCATTTTATTGTAACATGTGATATATATTTGTGAACCTATCAACTTCAATGCATAATTAGTTTGTTTATGTTCGATATGACTTCATGCCTGTATTTGTGTTAAGTAAGAAATATATAGTGAGAATTGAAATCATTGTGAAAGAATCTTTGCGAAGGATTATACAATGTATCACTTAAGAGAATTGATACTTGACGGGGTAAGTTACCTCAAAATAGAATGGAAAGAACCGTTGATAGCTTGAACAAAGTTACGTTTTAACAACCAATCAGGCTCGAGATACCCACACTACGTCACTTGCAGGCATCCAATTTCAATCTCAGTGATGTGCCCTAACTTCCCCAAAAATATGTTGCTACATTTACGTGATCCCCTGTTATATGTAACGTTTTTAACCTTCTATAATCTGACAAAAATTGAATAAAAATGTCATTTTTTTTAAAAAAAAAAAGTAAATTTAGCTTGGATAGAGACACTGATTGCAGATTTCTAATCAGTGATATGATAGTATCTAAGATCTGTTAAACAATCTCATGCAAAGCTAAAAAAAAAAAAACAGTTCCCAAGAATTATTAATGGTCTTATATTTAGATAAAAGAGTGTAATGGCAATCCGTCAATATCCTTTTGAACACAATGTACACTACATTGGATGAAACTAAGTGAAAAGTATTAAACAAATATTAATTTTAAATTTTACCTTAATTAAAAAAATGAAATTATAGTTTTGTGAAATGTAGTACCACCTTTCCATTATAAGGAAGACCAGGCTTATAATATTCCAGGCCATCGAAAAATTCGAGTTCTAGGGGATGAGTTGTCCGTGAAAGATATTTCGTGTCTTCCTTAAATGTACCTAACAGAATGAAAAAAGAATGCTGAATGCAGGAAATTTAACATACCTTTAGACACGCTACTATATATATAGCCACACTACTATAAAATATACTATTTTAAAATTTAATTTTTTTTCGAATTTGTTATAAGAGATCATTGAGAAATTTCTAAGTAAATAAATACATGAATAAAGATAAAAAAAAATTTAAAAAAATGTAAAATGCATAATTGTGAATATTGTTCTAACAGTATTATTTATAATTCATTTGAATTAGAGAAATGTACTGGTTCTGTATACGTGAAAGTATAATATTTACGAGATTTAAATCACATTTTTCTCAAAAGAAAGTTTTTCATACCAGCACTCAAGATTCATTTTGAAAATCATCAGAGCGCCCCAAAAATTAGAAAAAAAATCAATTAGTAACATAGATGAGATGAAAGAAACATACGGTTTGCTGCATGTTAATTAGATGACCAACTTCCAATTAACAACCTTTAGGAATTTTTTAAAAAGTTTGCTAAAAGATGGAGCTGCTAACGGAGAAAATCTAATAACACGATGTTTTCAAAATAACCACTTTTTTCAAAACAACGTTTGAGGACAAAAATAGCCTATACTTTAAGAATATTTTAGTATTTTAGTTAAATATTTTAGTTGAATGGTCTCGCATATAACAAAAAAAAATACCATTTTGTAGTTTTTCCTGTAGAACACAGCGAATCACACATTTCAATCTCCTTCTGTTTCTCATCCATTGACTCAAATCGTCTGCTATTTGTATGTAATGCTAATGTATAAGATACGTTTCGATTATTTAAATAATAAAACCCGATTTTTGAAAATAAAAGCTTTTAACTTGAACCTTCCTTTATCAAATTGAGACTACCTCAGGGCAGTCCTACATTTGCCAGGGATATAGGTTCTGGACGTAAGACTTCCAGGATTTGATTTTTATCTTTTTCATGTCTTCTTCCACATCCTCAAATTTTTTTCTCTTTTGTGAACCAGATGACCTAAATTGAATCGAACGGTACTTATCGGTTATTGTAGAGACCATGTATTGGTGACTACTAACACGAACAGTGCTCCTAATAACGGATACGTAGAAATCACATATTTCATTCATTCAAAAACATTGCTAATGGTCGGGATAGCCTGGTTGGTAGGACGTTGGGCTTGCGTTCGTGAGAACGTGAGTTTGAATCCCACCGGAATCCCCGTGTAGTAAACGGTGACTGATGCCCGTTAATTCTGTCTGGGTCACACAGTCCTTCAAGTTCCAATAACAAATCAATGTTCCTGGGTTTACTGAATTGGAGATTGATCGTTCTCTGATTCAGGTCAAAGTTTTGATCTGTGGATGAATAAATGGAGTATGATTGGGTCCTTCCTCTAAAACGGGCTGTGACGTGTGTGTGGCTGAAGTCGTGTTTTTGATCGTAGATGGTGCCATTGAAAAACAAAAAACACACATCTTCTGCTTTAAAAATTCACTTTATTTCAAGCAGAATTTGCCTTATGCTCATGAAAAAATACGCTTATGGATTCCATATGCTTAAGGCAAAAGTGTATGGCAAAATCTTACTATAGATAAAATCCCATAGGAATATCCTATCATATTTTTTTATGGCTAACCTATGGAAAATTTTCCTAAATGGCAATTAAATTTCATGGAATTAATTAAAAATTACGAGAGTAATATAATAAAACTTAAATTCAACGGAAACTACTTTAGTGATAACTTTAACATTTTGTAAATCTTCACCTGAACCATCTTCATCAATTTCGCCATCTTCGCCAAATGTTGCATATACATTTATATCAGAATAGTAGTACTTCCCGTCTGGTTCGATATCGGGAACTGATATATTGAAGTTGTAACAACCACTTATCTAAAAAAAAAAAAGAATAAAACTTCTTTAGGTATTTATGAAACAAAATTTTGACTTCAATTATTGCAATTATTGTCAAAAATAAAAGTTATAATTTCGGACAAAAATCAATATGGTTCGTTTCTGTGATGATTGAGATCTATACATACGATTGGAGCTGTAAAAAGCTTTCGTGGCTCTGAGTTGACATACGGTCACAAAGACTTAAATGATATTTAAAATAAATCTCTGTTTGTTTTGTGTCGTCCTTTTGCTTAATAGCAATCATTTCAATTCCATTCTCGCAAAGTGTTTTCATGCACGCAAAAATTTACAAGAATTTGAGTATTCGAAAAGTTTTTACGCTTAAAATTAAAGAATTTTTTTTTTTTTGCGTAGTAATGGTTGCACTATCATCACCTCTAACATACATTTTTAGAATTTTTATCGCTTGATTGTGGTGAATTTCAACTTGGCTGCGATTAATATCTTCGCACAGTTTAGCTTTATGAGCTTAGGCTGGGTACAGTTCCTGATATGAATAGTCTAATCTTTTATCAACATGTATTACTTACTCAAATAGTGCAAAGTCACTATACAATAATAATAGTAATAACAGTAATCATAATAATATTAATAATAATAATAACGTTAATAATAATAATAATAATTGAGAAATGGGATTATTTAAACTCTCGAAATTGTGTCGGTATATGTCTATCTGTTTTGGGTATGATTGTGTAGCCGATTGCTCATGTTCTATTTTTACTTTTTTTCATCCCTTAAAAAGGATCCATAGATAGTTTCATTTAATATTTGCCTTATTTTTTTTACTCTTTCTTTTATCGCATAAGTGTTAATTTTGGAAATAATATATTTTTTTAGAAAGATATTATATTTAATACTTATTGAAATGATAATAACATTTAATAATTCAATATTGAAGTAAATTTTCATACATGCTCAGAAATATTTATTTCTGGTCTTGGTTTCTTCGAATATCTTGAATTATAATAATAATTGTGCATTGAATACACTGTTACATTTAAGAGACCTTGCACTGGTTTGCCGTATGTATACCTGAAATTAAAGTTTTTTTTAGCTACATCGTATTATATGAAAAATAAACTGTATGTTAATAACACAATATTATATATTTTTGAACAACATTATTATGTAATTAAACTATACATTACTAGTTATATAATAGACAAAATAGATAGTTTTGTTTTGATACTTTTGTGAAAACATGTAATTAATACTAATAAAATGCAATGCGAACATGATACTTCTTCTTCTTTATTGACTCAGCAGCCATTCATAGACCATGGCCTTCGTTAGAATCGTATTCCATTCTGCTCTTTTCTTTGCTAACTTAATTTGGGCGTACCTCAAACACGTTTAGAGTATCAGACACAGCTTATGATATTTAAATTCTTCGTGTATTTTTTTTAAAAGTTCTTTTTATTTAAAATTGCTCATGATAGTTTTTATATTAAAAAAATCTCACAAAGTTATCATTTTTCCGAATTGGTCAAATCTACCCTTTTTTGTACCTCATTACAAATCACAATAAATCAAAGTTAGTACTTTATCAACAAAGAAATAATACATATAAGAAACTTCTATGTTTATTATATATACTATAATATCATTGATTAATACGATAAATTAAATAGCATTTCCTCATAAAGATAAATCAACAGTTAGTCAGTGCCATTGAATACTTTTAATGAAGGATCTATTAATAATTATTGAATCTCCTTGTAATTGGAATTATTGTTTCAAGTTCATATTTTGTACATTCGTTGACTTGGTAACGATGTGACAGGTGCTACTCTTTTTATTCACACGTCAGTTGAGGAGTATCAATTGCTCTTAACTGTATATTATTATAATATTAAGGCTATAATATTAAATAAGCAGGGTATGGGAATTGATTTAGAAAAATTGAAGTACTAAGTCGCAGTTTTGTAATAACATTATAAGGTGATAGCTTGAAATATTACTTTCCTTGTCTTTTTTCTATCTATAGCGCTAATTACTACTAATAATCATTCAACTCCACATTAAACTAGGCAGTGTTAACTAAACAGAAGTTGGCTATTATTTGTGACTCTTAATAATCGAGGAGCTGTGTCACATCTTAATAATAGGATAGCGCTGTGAGGCGACCACTATAATAATAGATAGTTTTTTGTATACTATTACCTGTTTAATAAAATTTGAATGATGACCATTTTTTAATATATGAAAAATTAAAACAAGAAATCATTTTTATATCATCACGTGCATTAATGTAGTTCTTTACGCTTGCCTTAGTCTTGTATTGGTTAAGTGTATCGGGGCAAATATTCATTTATTACAACATTTTTGTTATTATATAGTGTAAAATAATCGTGCCTGCAATATTTATTTTAAAAACAAGTGGGGTTCATTATTGCTCTAACTCTACGCTTCGTGTTTATGGAAAAGCTTCGCTGTGCAAGATTTAAAGTAAGTTCAGTCTGCAAAGCTGCGAAAATGTACAAAAGTGATACATAAAATGATTCTTGATATATAAAGCTGGGGATCAAATTTTTTGTTTCATTTATACGAATGCTTGATTTTTCAGAATTCAGGTGCGATAATTTCAAGGGGTTTAACTCAAATTATGAAAGGGTTTAGTTATGAAAGGGGTTATTATGAAAGGGGTTGACTCAGTTATGAAAGGGGTTAGTTTTGACTCAAAAGCTACAGATCAGATTTTATTTTGAAAATCACATTTCTAGTCTATTTTTGCTGTAGAAATTTACAAATTTAAAAATATTTTGTATATCAGAGGTTCACATGAGTGCTGCAACAAATTTCTAGGGGAGTCAGGGCATTCACTATTATGACAGAAACATTCTAAGAAACTCATAATAGGGAAGCGCCCTTTTACAGGTGTATAACGTCCTTTTTAGGCATGGGGGCCTATACAGTTGCAATCCAAATTATGTGTCCTAACTCCCCTAGAAGTTTGTTGCAACATTTGCAAGCAACCAATCATATATAACGTTTTCAAACTTGAATATTTCGAAGAAATTGCAAAAAAGCAGACTGAAATTGTCATTAAAAAACTGTTGCTTAACCCCTTCCTTCTGGCTCCCGTGAAAATGACGGGGTGAGATTTTGCCCGCTATTTCTCACTCCCGTGATATTGGAGGGCTGGAATGTTCAGTAGTAACGCGCCAATAAGAATAAAACTAATTAATTTCTTTTGCCCGGAAAACATTTTATTTTATTTCTAACATTTTACTCATTTTACACACCTGATGGCAGGACCAGGATATTTTTAAAGTAATTGTAAATAATTAGTTTATTTTAAACTAGTTGCAGCACTAATCAAATACGTAATACAAATACAAAAGCCAAAAAAATAGGCACTTTTATGACCGTTTTCTTGAAAATTAACCGATCGTTAAGGGGTTAAAGAGAGAAACTGATTGCACGCCTCAAATCAATATTAAAAATGTATCTAAAATCTGATAAAAAATTTTATGTAACAGAAATTTTTTTTTGCTTTTAAAGTATTTGAAGACAGTGAACAATTGGATGGAAAAAAAATTAAAGCGTAAATACTAGAGTGAAATAAAATAACAGTTAATAAATCTTACTTTGCACAAATTTCTACTGGAATGTTTTCCGCAGTAGATAGTGTGTAAGAAGGGAAATTAATTTTAAGATCATAGGTAGGCAGTTCTATAAATATGAAAAGGAAATATTAAACAAATCACACAAGAATAATACTTAAGTTATATGCATGGGAAGTAACTAAGAAAAAAGTTCTATCAACTCTGTTTTTCATTAGAGTATTCTAGAGTATTATTTTCAGTAGAGTAGAGTCCAAACCGTAAAACATCAAATTAATAGCTTAGAAGTTACAAAAAAAATTATCTATAAAAAGTACCATTTTTAATTTATACATACTTACTTAGCTATTTACGCAAGCACAGAATTGTTTTCTGATTATTTTTACGCCGAATTAAACGAGACCAAATACTAGATGGCAGAATTAATAGCTTACAAATTATGAGAGAGGAATACACGAAAATACACAGTAAAAATTTCTAGATCAAATTTCTAGACATTCAACATGCACTAATGGACACCGCGATTCAAATCTCTTGGATGAAAGCGCATAACAATAAAGAAGGTAATGAGAGAGCGGACGAATTGGCCAAAAAAGCAACATAAAGCATTAAAAATTATTCATTTCCTCTCCCTGTTTCACACCTAAAACAATCTCTTAAAAAATCTTTATCTAGTAATTGGCAAAACCAATGGAATAGACGTCTGTTTAACATCATCAATAATGTCAACTACTTTAATTCAATTCCAATTAAACAAGTCATCTGGTTCCTAACAGGTCACGGCCCTTTTCCTTCTTTCTTTCATTACCTTCATATCTCGGATACAAACCTTTGTACCTGTGGTCATCCAGGTACACCAAAGCATTACTTATCAACTTGTCTTTACACAATATCATGGCATACACGACTTTCAAACATTAATAATTTACATATTTGGCAAAAACACTTTCTTACAAATAAAACATTAAACTCTAAATTAATTAACGTAATGAATTTTCTAGCAGAAAACGATTCCTTATTAAAATTTTAATTAAACCTGACTTTTTATGTAGTCTTGCAAACCTAGGTACGTGTCCACGTCTGGAAGAAAAAGAAAAAAAAAGGCACTCAGGATGCCACCATGGAAACCATTTTTACCGGAACATGTACGAAACAAAACACATGATATACCGCTATTTTTGCTGCAATAATTACCATAAAAATCGCTGAATCGGCATAATTAAACAAATATCGCTGTAAAAATTACGATCTACTATTTTGTAGTAAAAATAGAATTAACACTAAAATGAATTTTACGGTAGATGCACCCAAAGTGCCGGTACTCTATACAATAATTTGATCCTGAATCTTTAAAGTAGAGTATTGTATAATTTTTGACATGCATAAGACACTTATATTTTTAAAACTAATAGTTCTACTGAAATAATTTTAAACTTATTCAATTACAATATTTAATACCATAAAAGAAGGATGTAATTTATTGTTATTAATATTATTTATTTTATTTATTATTAGTTTATTGCATTTACTATTTATTTATTCAATTAAATTAAATGAAATTGGTTAATCATTTTCTGAGATACGTTTGCCACAAAACAGCACAAATTGGTCACGTGACATTAGACACTGAAATATTTATTAATTAGACAAGTAAGTCATATACAATTGGGTTTCTTTGTAACAAATTATGTCCCCTGATGGAAATGTCGAATAGCTTTTTTTCCCATGCTTCAATTGTTTTCCATTTGCTTATAAATATTAAGTATTTATTACTACTATAACTCAATAATCAATATCATACTTCACAGAAGTAAAAAATTGATTTATTTTGTTATCTCAGTAATGATTCTAGAAAGATAAAATGTTTCTGTTTATTCAGTTGCATTATTTGCTCAGCTATTAAGTTTGATAGGTATGCTTTCATTTTATATGAATTGATTGAATTCTTCATGATGCGTCAACTGCAATCATATCGAAGATTTTTTTTTAAAATTTCAGCATTACCTGATTTTGAAAAATCTGAGTCTAATGTCGAAATAGTCCAGTAAAAATATTAACTGAGAACTTCCCACACTTCACTGTAAGTTTCCCCCCTTCTTTTTCTTTGGGGGGGATGGATGTTATTTAATAATATGTTATATAATAATCATTTAGCTATTTAATAATATATTATTTAATAATATATTTTCTAAATTTACGAACCATATTCTGAGACGTGAAATTCCGTAGAATATGAGGAATCTGCTATTTTGACTTCGATTCTCCAGTATCCCAGAACAGGTTCTTCGGATAATGTAAATTCGAATTGAACAATACCTAGAACAATAAATTTTTATTAACACAATCTTGGCCAAAAATCACACTTCATAAAATATTCATTAACTTTCATATGAATATAAATTTTGTTATGAAATATTTTTCTATATTTCTATTTGTAAACACCAGAATGTAATATTATTGTTAAACTTTATTACCCATGATATAAAAAGAGTTTGGCGATAAGCGTCTACTAATAAGTTATGTAGATTGTATTGTGTTGAAAAAATAATTTCTTTCCAATGATCACCCGGATATTGACTTTATTCGGGTATCAGAATCGCAAATTTGTTGACCACTCTCACACCTCCCTGACCTCAAGTCTTAGGTCAAGTCTTAGCTTAAGGCTGCTGGAGTATGATAAAAAGTATGAAAAATTTAATTATTTATGCCTAGCGTTCTTTTAAAAGGGGTTTTCCTTCAAAAATAATAGAATTGGTAGTTTAAATGTTTTAATATTGTAATTTAAGTATTTTAAGTATAATAATATTTAGATTTATTTTAGAATTTGAAATTTAGACACAATTTATTTTTTAAAGGTAAAGTAGCAGTAAACAGAAAGATATATTAAATGGGGGAAAAACAAAACATAAGTTACCACTTTTAAACATTGGTGTTTTTCAAATAAAACCACATTTTTTGTATGCATTCATGGATTAATAATATTTTTAATTAAAATTCCATTATATTCCATTATATTTATGTATAAACGAAAGTTCTTATATATGATGCGTTTATTATTATTAAAGTAAAATATTCCCACAGCAGCCTGTTGTAGGCCAGGGGGCTCATGGAGGCTATTTCGATACCAATAACATGATTGTGGCAATGTGGTCAGCATTGCGCACAGGCCAGTTTTATTACTCATCGATTTAAAGCTGGTTAGGCTACAAGCTGGAGCAGGGAATCGAGCCCCAGTTTTTTTTAGTGAAAGTTCAGTGTCTTAACCACTGAGCCATATCGGCTCATTTAGCCTTATTACAAAATTGATATTGAAAATTTTATTGAATGTTGATGTTTATGGACATATAAAATTCTTATTTATTTTTTGCACTCAAAAGCCGTAAAAAATAGTTTCGTTCACTTGAAGTTCCATTAAAGGTTTCATTTTGCTCATTAATAGAAGAATTAATATTAGAAGCGTGTAAACTGCCAGAAAAGAATTATAACAATGTACATCCTGTGGACGTAAACTGTAATAGTATTGGCCATACAGGCACTGTAATGCTATAATGCCTGTACATTCGTACATAAGCGTGACAAAAATTAAGTACATGGCATAAACATATTAAAATAAGTTTTTTTTTCGCGTAAAAGAAATGCCGATTTTTTAAAGGACTTTGAAAAAGTAAACAGTTGTATTAAATTAATCAAATTAAAATACAATTCCGAAAAATAACAATTGTTTAATTTGCATGAAATATATATTTTAAGTATGATAAAATATATTTCAAAATAATCATCGATCTCGGTCTTATCCAATAAAGTTTATTCAAAATCCAGAAGCTGGTATAATAAATAATACTGTACAATACAACACTGTTAACACACTATTACAGCAACACTGTTAGCAACACTGTTTGATTGTGCCTTTAATTTAGTTCGGAATATTGCGGGAGTTTGGAGCAGAACAACCCATTCAGGCTCCTGTGACCTTCAACGTTTTATTCATACAATTGCGAATCATTTTTATTTTCAACGTGTGGAGTATATATGGGATAAAATGTAAATAAAAAACTAATTGGTTTTCTGTGCTAAAACTTAATCTAATTTAAAAAAATTTACAATTTTTTTTAAGTAACCATACCTTTCTGAAGATTAATGTCATTGAATTGGAACAAGCGTGTTTGTTTTGGATCAACAACAAATGCATTGGCTATCTAAAAATGCAAAAGGTTTTTTTAAAAATGTTTTTCAATTTTAGTAATTCAATTTTAGTAATTATTTAAAATTTCAAATCTACATTTTCAAAAGTCATTAATAATTTTAAAATTTCTATACTGTTGAACAGCACGAAAAGTGTACGGTAAACGCTCACAAATCTTCTATGAATTTGCTTAAAAAAATTAAGTATTCTTAAAGTTTTAGCAAAATTATAATATAACTGTTGATGTAACTAAGAGTAACATGCTTAGTTTTTCAGTTTATTTTAAATCAAAATTATCATACTTTAAATATCAAGCAATTATCTTTAATCGATTTTGATATACATTTTTTAAAAGTTATAAGGACTTGGAAAAAAATATTATATCGAGAAGCAATTTCAAAGTTTTAGCATTACTAGTAGTTCATTTATATCATTTATTAAATTGCCTTATTTTATTTACAACTTCCTAATTTGAAATAAAAATCATGGGAGCATACTGAGAACTAATGAGGTTTTGTTTGTTATTAAAGTGATGACAAAAACAATTTTGTTGAATTAAACATACTCATATTGATTCACCCGATTTATGTTTTTTTCTCTGACTTATTAACTCCCCTAAAAATATAACTTACCTGGTTCTAAAACTTAGCTCTTAATTTGTGTTTATATATGTCTTTCAGATTTGAGCATAATTTCGTATGGTTTCTCAGTACTTTCCCAGTACTCAGTATATTGATTATTTTCTCTTATTTATTTATTTTTTTTATTTACCCCGTTTAGCTGCATTTATTAGTACTAATAAAAATAAGAGCAATTTTAGTCATGGGTGATGTATTTGCGTCTGAAAAATTGTAAATACATGAAATAAAACTTAAGCAAAAAGTAAAGTAATTTAATACTTTTAATTACGTAATTCAGTTTTTTATATGGTATAATACTTACGTTATTCTTATAGGTTGGTTTGAAATCTTTATCCAGTCTCAATATTCTAAATTTCACTGAAAAAATTAAGTAGATATCAGAGAAGAAATATAAAACTAATAACTATCCGAAGTTTTTCCTTAAAAAAAAGTTTTTCTACTTTTTGATAATTGAAAATTTTTACATAATATTTTCAGCAAAAAAAAAAAATTCACCTAAGTTTTTACAAAGTTACCAAGGGCCACACTGAGTCCTCCACTAAATCCTAAGAATCTCACTGACTCCTCCACTAATTACTAAGTGATACACTGACTCCTCTAAAAAACAGGCCTTAAGAGTCACGACTGAGCACAGAAAAAAGACGTTAGAGGAAAAGGTGAAAAAAGCTGCTCATTTTTTTAATTTGAGATAACTTCAAGCATTTTTCAATTTCTTTTATCCGTTTGATTCACTTCCTGATATAGTGTTTAGAGTATTTTTCTCCAACGATTACCTCTTCATGCCAGCATATTGTATTTTGGAAATGCACTCAAATTTTTTGATTAAGTAGTAGCGAGTAAGTGTTGTTGAAATGATAGTACATACATATTATTTCATCATTTTAAGACATTTTTCACGTTATTATTTCCTACAAAATGTCCAATTTCCTTGTGTCAGTTATTGTTTTTTTATGACTTTTTTAATGACTTTCTTTTTGGTATGCCAGATTTGATAGCGCGGCCCAATACAGTAATTCTGGTGGCCCGTTTTTGGCCCGTAAACAGTAGTTTAAAATTATAAACATAATGAAAACATTGCATTGGAACTTATACTTATTTTTAAAATTTGTGGAGATAAAATTGTGCCTACAAGCCCTGTAATTCGAGACCAAAACTTGATGTACACTTTCACAGTCTTATTTCGTTCACTTTGTTAGCGGTTTTTTACTATTCTGAGATTTTTTTAAAAATTCCATAAGTTATTTATTCTGAATCTAAAACTTAGACAATATATAATAACTTAGTGTACCTGTTTGTCCTGGTTGGTACAGGGGTTTGTCAGTTTGAATTATAACTATGCTATCATCAGGTTTGTCAAACTTTACCTCATCAATACCATTGAAAGCATAACTTCCGAATTCGCCATTTATTTTTAATTTTCCTTCGTTAGATGCACTTTCAAAATCATCTAACGGAAAATTTAGTGTTGAATATCTTTCTCCTATAAAAAATAGAAAGTTAGGCTGATCAAGGTTTGCAAGATCAAGTCTTGTCAAATTAACAATTAAGCTTTATAAGATCATACATTATAAGATTAACATTTGTTATCAAAATGTACAATAACTAAGCTTATGAAATTATTTAAGAAGCCAATATTTATTAGATAAGATTTATTAAATTCAAAGTTATGATATTAAAAATATAATATGAGATTAAGTTTTGTAAATCTTTTAATCAAGATATGATTTACAGAATGAGCATGGCTTCCACAGACCTTAATAATTTTAAATATGGTTGGTTACAAAGTTAAGTGATCCAACACTTAGAAGTACAGAACAAACAGTGTAACAGAGCAAGGTTTCCAAAGACCTTAATAACTCTAAATATGCTCACAAAGCAACAAACAGTGTTTGTATGACAACATATTATTCCCTCCCAAAAATATATCTAATCTATGCCAATTCCTCAATTATAAATCTTAAAGTGGCAGTTGAAATTAGGAAACTTTTACAAACTTTGTTGTAAATTTACTATTTTTTTTAATAATTCTTCAGGCCCGTGACATCCTTAAATTATGATTTATTACAAGAACAATTATTTCAAGATTTAAATTATTAATTAAATCAAGAAAGAAGTAATTATTGTTATTTTAATAAAATCAGATTGAATTTTATTAAAATAATAGTCTGTTTTTTTTACCTTCAGGTATAGGGAATTGTTTAATTACATGTGGATATTCCTCAGCAGAATAGTTTGCTTTGTACAAAAGAGAAATATTTATGAATCCTGACTCCAAGTTTCCAAATCTACGTAAGTGCAATTCATTATTATTTTTCTTCTTTAGAGTTCTTGCACTCGTAAACACATAGCCACTGAAAAATATTTTATTAACATTAATTTTGTATTTTACCCAATTATACAGATGTAAGTAAAACTTAACAGATGCATACGTATTGCCAGTTATTTTCAGTGAATAAAATAAGCATTTATGAAACCTCACATACATATATGTTTTGCAGTTAGGGTTTAAAACAGTCAATAAATTTAATAAATTTTACAGATATCATGATGATAGCTAAGCATTAGATTTCAGAATGTAATCATTTGGATAAAAAAAAAATTTCAACAGTTTTATTTTAAAAAATTATAAATTTATTTTGGCCATAATTAGTGTATAATTTTAATCCAATAACGTAAGTACAATACTATTCTACATGCAGTATATCATAGATTTTTGCTGTATTTTTTCTAGCTGTGATATATCATAGTTTTTTTAATTCTAAATGAAAATAGCGTTTAATCTGAACCATTAAGCCGAACAAAATGTTTTTGTATCAACCTATCATATTTTGTTTTGTTTCGTACTAGTTTTAGCTTTAATTAGCATTATATAGTTCTAAAAAGTCTGTTCTAGTTGAACCTTATGTAATTATTTATAAACTTTTAGAACCTTTTTTATTTAAAACCCGTTTAAAGTTGTAATGTAGCCAAGAAAAATATTTTTTAAAAATGAAAATAGTCTCTCATCGAAACATTACATTAATCTAAATATTTCTTTTAGAGGTTATAACTGTGACCTATGACTATAAACAATAATACATATTTAGAAATTTTTTGAAAATATTTTGAGGTATTTTTTATTTAGCTATACATTATATGATATATTTATAAGCATGTTCCTCAGAAATCATAGTTTCATTGCAAAAATAGTGGAATCGGCACTTAAAATATCCTTTTCCAATATTAAACAAGAAATAAAACAATCATAACTCAACTTTTTGTGTGAATAATTAAAGAAAAATATTTTTAAAAGATTCAACTTTAAGGATCGACATGAATCTACATTTTGTATAAATGTAGGGAAAATTATTATTAATGATAACACATATAAATGAATATAACATATACAATGATTGACCATAATCTACACCTACACATAGTACGCACAATCTACACATACTAAGGAAATAATTCTTCATGGCATAATACTCCAATAATGATTTCCCAGAACCAACCTAATTGCTTAAGTAATGTAAAAATTTGTTGGTATGATTCCTATAAAATGATTGACCTGTATTTACATTTTATAATAGGCAGGGAAATTAATTCTTAATGATATGATTTATCTGCAATAATTGATCAGAGCTCACTTCTTGTGAAGAATATAGAAAGTCATTCATAATAATTATCAGAACCTACTCCTTATAAACGACAATGGAAAGTTATTCTTAATTAAATTATTGTTCAGAACCTACTCCTTGTAAAAAGATATGGAAAATTATTCAAAATGATACAATTAAACTGTTAGTAATTATCAGAACCTACTCCTTATAAAAGAGAATGGAAAGTTATTCTTAATTAAATGATTGATCAGAACCTACTACTTGTAAAAAGATATGGAAAGTTATTCATAATGATATGATTAATCTGTTAGTAATGATCAGAACCTACTCCTTATAAAAGATAATGGAAAGTTATTCTTAATTAAATGATTGATCAGAACCTACTCCTTGTAAAAGAGAATAGAAAGTCATTCTTATTGTCATGATTCATCTGTAATGATTTATCAGAATCTACGCTTTGTAAAAGAGTAAAGTCACTCTTAATGATATGATTTATCTGAGATAAATGATTGGAATCAACTCCTCATAAAAGAGTACGGACATGATTCATCAGAATCATAGAAGAGTATAGGAATTCATTCATAATGATATGATTTATCTATAATATTAATCAGAACCTACTATTTGTAAAAGCATATGAAAAGTAATTTTTAATAATATGATTCATCTACTATTATGATTGACCATATAACTTGTGGTATAAGTATGCGGCAAATAGCGTTTACTAGGAATATAATTTGAAAAAATATGACTTTAAATATTATTACATAATTTTTTGCAAAATGTTACGGTGCATACTTTGGTGTGAAAGAATCCTGAGTATAGCAGCATAAGAAGTACGTGCCCAAAACTAGGAAACTGATGATGACGTGCATCACGGTTCTCCCATACAATAGAGTCAGCCCTAAATTTTGAGACAAAAGAAACGTTATAATTTAATTTATAATCTTATTTCACTCATTGTCAGTTCGTTTAAAATTCTAGCTCAAAGGCTCAACATTTAAAACAGCGGCAATTATTTTGTAAGTTAATTTATCTGGATATCCATCGTAATTAGTTTTACTGATATACTTGTAAACAGCATTGTAAAAGAAAAGCACTTTATTGCAAAACTTGTAAAAAAAAAGCACTTTAAAGTTGAAGGTCAATTCAATTATTGTCAAAATTTACCACAATTAAGTAATTTTTTCAGGTATCTGACCTTTTCGGGTTATCATGTAACGTTTACTACTACGATACTAATTTGTTGTTGTTGTCGTAGGCCATTAAGGCAAAGGCGTGCAATTGCTCTTGTTTTCCAGTGGCGCCATCTATGGCCAAGATTTTGAGTTCTGTCACACCTATACGTCATGCCGTTTATAGGGCATTCATTCATCCACAGATCGTAAATTTGACCTAAACAAGAGAATGATAAATCTCCAATTCAGTACCCAGAGGTAAAATTTGTTATGGGCACATGGAGGACTTAGTGACTGCACAGATTTAACATGTACCTGTCACCATTTATTACACGGGGAGTCTTTCGAACTTCTGTTCTCACAAACGTGAATTCAGCGCCCTGTCAACCAGGGCATCCCAGGCCGCAATACTATTACAAAATACCAATATTAGCATGTTAAGTATTTATTAAAACATCACCTATAACATCAACTCAAGCAGTATTAATTAACAAAATTAATTAGGAATCATTTGCCTCAATAATAGTATGGCAATTTTTACATTCTTTTGTAACGAAATTTTCTCCATTAGTTTTGCTTTTTAGTTCAGAGTCTAATCTTTTATGTTAATTACTGTTGATTTAAAATTAACTAGGAGGCTTCGCCCCCTGCTCGCTGGCGCTCTCCAACCCCCGGAACTGCTTTCGCAGTTCATTTCGGATTGCTTCGCAATCCGATGCTCGCTCTGCTCCCACATTGGATACGTTCTTAACCTCTAGCTTTTGTATACTTTTTTGAACACTGAAGTTCCGAAAACGTTTCACTGTAGAAAATTCTAAACCTGTGCATTTCAATATTAATTTGAAATTGCAAACAGTTCACATATTTTTCTTAATCACACTATTCTAAATTTCAGTTG